TTTTTTTTTTTTTGATGTTCAAATTGCATTGTAGAACATTTGGAAAATACAGAAAAGTCCAAAGAAAATAAGACAATAAAAAATATTCTCCATTGAGGTCTTTGTCTTCACCAAAACTTCAACAAAAACTGTTCTGGTCAAGGTTACTAGTGGCTCTGTCATTGTATTATCCACTGATGTACCCCCAATCATCATCTTTCCTATAGCAGCACTTGACTCAGTGAACAACTCCCTTCTTTTTCTTTTTCTTTTTTAATTTTTATTTATTTATTTTTTTAAAAAAGATGGGCTGTATTTTTAAAATTTTTATTAATGTTTATTTTTTATAAGTATTTTAGTTCCTTTATTTCTTTTTTTTAAATGAAATTTATTGTCAAATTGCTTTCCATAAAACATCCAGTGCTCATCCCAACAGGTGCCCTCCTCAATGCCCATCACCCACTTCCCCCTCCCTCCACCCCCCATCAACCCTCAGTTTATTCTCAGTTTTTAAGAATCTCTTATGGTTTGGCTCCCTCCCTCTCTAACTTTTTTTTCCTTCCCCTCCCCCATGGTCTTCTGTTAAGTTTCTCAGGATCCACATAAGAGTGAAAACATATGGGATCTGTCTTTCTCTGTATGACTTATTTTACTTAGCATAACACTCTCCAGTTCCATCCACATTGCTACAAAAGGCCATATTTCATTCTTTCTCATTGCCAAGTAACATAAAATACCTAGGAATAAACCTAACCAAAGATTTAAAAGATCTGTATACTGAAAACTATAGAAAGTTTATGGAAACTGTTTATAGAAAGTTATAGAAAACTATAGAAAGTTTATAGAAAGTTAAGGAAATTGAAGGAGATATAAAGAAATGGAAAAACATTCCATGCTCCTGGGTTGGAAGAATAAATATTGTTAAAATGTCAATACTACCCAAAGCTATCTACACATTCAGTGCAATCTCAATCAAAATTGCACCAGCATTCTTCTCGAAGTTAGAACAAGGAATCCTAAAATTTGTATGTAACCACAAAAGATCCTGAATAGCCAAAGTAATATTGAAGAAGAAGACCAAAGCAGTAGGCATCACAATCCCGGACTTTAGCCTCTACTACAAAGCTGTAATCATCAAGACAGCATCGACACAAAACGAACCACACAGACCAATGGAATGAGATGGAACTCAGAATTGGACCCACAAAAGTATGGCCAACTAATCTTTGACAAAGCAGGAAAGAATATCCAATGGAAAAAAGACAGTCTCTTTAACAAACGGTGCTGGGAGACCTGGACAGCAACATGCAGAAGAATGAAACTAGGTTTCTGTTATACCACTCACAAAAAATAAACTCAGAATGCTAAAGGACCTGGATAATGAGACAGAAAACCATCAAAACCCTAGAGAATGACAGGAAAAAACCTCTCTGACCTCAGCCTTGTAATTTCTTACTTGACTACATCTCCAAGAAAAGGGAATTAAAATAAAAATGAACTATTGAGACCTCATGAAGATAAAAAGAGCTCTGCACTGCAAAGAGGGAAACAATCAACAAAACTGAAGAAGGCAATGACAATGGAATGGGAAAAGATATTTGCAAATGACATATCAGACAAAAAAGGCCAAATATCCAAAAATCTATAAAAAGAACTCACCCAAACTCACACCCAAAAACCAGTAGTGAAGAAATAGGCAGAAAACAAGAATAGACATAAAGACATCCAGATGGCCAACAGGCACGAATGCTCAATGTCACTCCTCATCAGGAAGTACAATCAAACCACACTCAGATGCCACCTCACCAGTCAGAGTGGCTAAAATAGACAAATCCGGAGACCATAGATGCTGGAGAGGATGTGGAGGAACAGGAACCCACTCTTGCACTGTTTGTGGGAATGCAGGTGCAGCCTCTCTGAAAACAGTGTAGGTGCTCAAAAAAGTAAAAATGATCTACCCTATGACCCCTTAATAGCACTGCTAGAATTTACCCAAAGGGATACGGGAGTGTTGATGCATGAGGGGCACTTGTACCCCAATGTTATAGCAGCACTTTCAGCAATAACCAAATTGTAATGGAAAGAGCCTGTCATCAACTGATGAATGGTTAAAAGTGGTTTTATATACACAATGTGAATACTACTTGGCAATGAGAAAGAATGAACAACTCCCTTCTTGACATACTTTCTTCACTTGGCTTTTGAATAACACTCTCTCTAGTATTCCTACAAATCCACTCATATTTCTTACTTTCTTTTTGTCTTCCTCACCTCAAGAGGAGTTTTTCAAGCTGTATATAGGCACAACCTACCTATGGGCTGTGTGAAAATGTTTTAATGCCTTTATTTTATTTTATTATTTGAGAGAGAGAGAGAGAGGGAGAAAGAGAATCTTAAGCAGTTTTCCATGCTTAGTGCAGAGTGGATGGGGCTCAATCCTGAACCTAGGATCATAACCTGAGGCTGAAATCAAAAAGAGTCAGATCTCCAACTGACTGAATACCCAGGCACCCTTAATGCCTTTTAATTTCAGTTTATTGAGGTATCATTGACAAAAACTGCACATATTTAGATGTATACAAATTTGAAGAGTTTGGACTGAGTCTG